ACCACGGTAGTCGTCCACAGACATACCGCTGTGCACTGGGGGAGGGGGGGGCAATACCAAGAGGAAAATCTATAAGAATAGTTATATTACCCCCTTGCGTTTCTCATTAATTTTTCACGCTATAGAAAAATAATGTATTCGATACTTTCAGAGGCAACTATGGAACGATAAAAAAGGAATTATTACTTTATATTTCAAGACCAATGAATTTCTTGTGCACATCTCTACATTATCTGTGGTTCCTCGCTGAGTCAGTGGTGAGTTTACGGACTTACAACTCTAAAATCCGGGGTTTGATTCTCCGCGTGGTTCGAATTCCATCACCGAACATTCTCACCTTTTCAGCCGTGGAGGCGTTATAATTTGACGATCAATCCGACTATTCCGTTAGAGTAGCCCAAGAGTTGGCGGTGGGTGGTCTTGACTAGCTGCTTTGTCTCTAGTCTTTTACTTCTAAATTAAATACGGCTAGAGCAGATAGCCCTCGGGTACCTTTGCGCGAAATTCACCAAAGAATCAAACTATTCTTTGCGGTGGACAAAGTGCAGACAGCCCATTGTGTAAAAAACAACCAAACCAAAGCGCAGAGAGCCCATTGTGTAAAAACAACCAAACTAAAGTGCAGACAGTCCATTGTGTAAAAAGCAACCAAACCAAAGTGCAGACAGCCCATTGTGTAAAAAACAACCAAACCAAAGCGCAGACAGCCCATTGTGTAAAAACAACCAAACTAAAGTGCAGACAGCCCATTGTGTAAAAACAACCAAACCAAAGCTCAGACAGCCCACTGTGTAAAAAACAACCAAACCAAAGCTCAGACAGCCCTATTGTGTAAAAACAACCAAACCAAAGCACAGACAGCCCATTGTGTAAAAACAACCAAACAAGCACTATTTGTAGAAAGAAAATAAAAATAGTTGATAGATCTCTCTCAAACTTATCCAGCGTAATCGTGGTGTTTGCGCACGAAGCCACAAAAGTGGATGTTCCTTTCACTACCTGGGAAGGGGAACACAATGATTATCAGGTAAAATTATCTCAGTACCCGCCCAACGTTCATAAAACCAGTTCTGGAGGTAAATTATTACTTTTGGACTTTACTTTAATAGTTGTAAAAATATTATTCTACAGAATTTAGCTAAGGAAATGTTTAGACTTATTTTTTTATTTAAGAGTATAACCTTCAAATAAATTAAATATTTATATTGATAAATGATATTTGGTTGTTCGATTTATTTGATTAAATTATTCATGTTTAAGACTCAAATGGCAGAAGAATTGACTTGTTAATTTTCTATTTCTTATCAACAGAATATGACAGGTTTCTATAACGAAAGACAAACATTTTTTAAAATTAATTTCCCCGATACGGGGCCTAAAGCCATCTGGAGGGGTCACCTGTTTTAACCATTCGCACCACTATACAGTAGTGTGTTGTCTGTCAGTCAGTCAGTAGACATTAAAATAATGTAACATAAGTAACCCTTAAAGTTGCAATTTGTACTGTCATGACGTCAATAAAACGTATGCATGCAATGAATCACGAGAAGAATTATGCACTCTGTCGGCTGCAACGCAGCATGACATATGCACTTCAAAAGCAAGAAATAAAAATATTTGTTACTCTTAATTTTGGTTTTATTTACTCTTGAAACAGAACATTTTCGGGAACCCTGCGCAAGTACATCTTGTATAATGTTAAACTATGTTTCTTAAGTTTTAAAATCCTTTCTTGAAGCCGCAGATTACATGTTGAAATGTTTTAACCCATAAATCCTAAACTACAGGTGATGAAGTTGTTAATATATTTCAGTTGAATCAAATTACATGCCCCCGATGGCTTAGCGTTAAATCTGAGAGATTATAACGCTAAATATGGAGTTTCGATTACCACATGAGACAGCTGTCACATTTTTACATTCTTACAAACAATGTCCATCTTTAATCATTATGTGAGGGTCTTGGGAGAGCGCCAGATTGGGCGCTAATTTTTTATTGCAGTAATTTCAAATTTTTTTTATTGTTTTTTTATATTCTCGACTCGGATTTAAACTCGAGAACTCTCACGTACCACGCGAGTGCCCTACAGTATGAGCTACCAAACCTCATAAATAATCAATATTAAGGCCTAACGAAGGTAATGAAATGAGGTTACTCGCGCCCGTATATTAAAACGCGCAACTGGAAATCTATTTCCATAGTATGTCCACCTGTGGGACAGCGGTAAGTCTTCGGATTTACAAAACTAAAATCAGCGTTTCGATTCCCCTCGGTGGACACAGCAGATAACCCGATGTGGCTTTGTTATAATACAACACGCACCATAATAACAATACAATTAAAGTATTGTACGCTCTTCGTAATTACGCCATTTTCCGCAATAATTGATGTTAAGCTATCCAAAAAGTCGTTATTTATTTTTAGTTGACTGACATCACCAGGTTCTGAAGTACTGACGAGCAGTGAAAGAATGATTACTTATGGTTAGAATTAAGGCTATTATATTATTAGATAATACATTCTATATCTAGTTTCTCATAGGTTTTCAAGAATTAAAAGAGTGTGTAACAATAGTATTTCAACCACACACGCCTTCGACGATGGATGTCGCAAATATAGTGATTGGAATACTATTATTATACACTCCTCTAATTCTTAAAAATCCCTGAGGGACTAGATAAAGAATGTAGTGTATAAAAATATAATAAGCCTAATACTAATGTCTTACGACAAATACAGTTCAAATACATCTGTATATATATATAACAGTACTATCTGTTGTATGTTCATGTAACTACTTCGCAGGGTGTGGATGGATCTTCACCAAAATTGGTATGAAGGTTCATTAGATCTGTGCGGGGGTACATACAAATTTTCAGTTTTGCATTTTGCGTTTTGCGGTTTTTGTGGGCATTTTTTACCGCTACTTCGCCCCCTGTTGATGAATCTTCATCAAATCTGACATGAAGGTTCATTAGATCCGTGCGGGGGGTACATACAAATTTTCAGTTTTGTATTTTGCGGTTTTTATGGGCGTTTGTACGTTTTTATCACTTCTTCGCACCCTGTAGATGGATCTTCACCAAATCTGGCATGAAGGTTTGGTCCATACGTAGATACTTGCAAATTTGAGATTTCACATTTTGTGTTTTGCAGTTTTTATGAGTGTTTTTGACAATTACATATAAAGGAAGCAACTTTTCATATCCTAAGATAACCTTTCGTTTGTCATAAATTTATATAACTTCCGTCCAGAGGACGGGTACTTCAACTAATGGTCACATGTATTAACAACAGAAAACGAACAAACGAAACATGAATTGTTCAGACTTTACTCTTTCTCTCACTTTTTCTAACTGAAGTTTGAAATTATTGAATAACATGGATTTATATATTTTGCATAAGATTTGTAAATAATACATTGATACTAATATTGGAAAATTAAACAAAAAAAAAATTTTTTTTTGTTTCTTTCAACATTTTATTTAAAAAATGATCAAAATAAACCGCTAAGTGATAATGAAAGAAATAATATTTTAAATTAAATGTTAAAAACGTTTAGTAAGATTTTATTAATTTATTTACAGTTGTTAGGTGGCACATCAGTCGGATACATGATGTGGGTTTTGAGCACATCTCCAGAGCCTCATAATTTCCTAACCGGAAAATTAGTAAGTTTGTTAATATTTTTGGAGAGGGATTTTAACCCGATTTTAAATGTGCAATTAACATTTTAAAAAATTTGTGTTCTTATATTAACTTCTGCGTTTGACATAAATTTATCCACTATTTTTAAATTATAAGTAACATATTAATTTTAACGTTCAAAAGTTTATGATGTATTGATCATAGTAATATAAAAATATTTTGGATTGTACTAAAATCCTGCATTTGATTACTCTAGGTAATCACGAATTCTTCTTTTCAGTTAAAACTTAATTTCCATTAATGTTAACTGATCATAGGTATTAACATATTCCATAAAAATGGCTGTTTCAGTTATTCGTAATATGAGGAAAATATGGCTCTAAGTACAACGTTTCGCAACAATAGATCCCCTAGAGACAAGAAATAGAGGTTCAGTATATTATATCAATAACATATTGGAGCCTCACTACATCGTAATAGACAATGTCGCTACGTTTGGTCATACACTGTCTCATGACTGTGCATATTTACAACAGCCCTGCAACGTAGTTTATATTGTAAATGGCTCCGTCTTAAGGTCATCATGTCTAAAGAACATGCTTCTTCCCTGTTTGCTTTTCAGAACCAATCTAATAGATCAGGATGACGGTTTTCCAGCACCCGTTTCAACAGTCAGATTGCATAGAAATCCATAGTGCTGCGTCCAGCATCTTGACCAGTGTGTCTTGGCATGGAATACCATGCGAATACTGGTTTCATTCTCCAGTTGTATGAAGTATGCAACTGTTGAACGAATATACTAGGGAAGCAACTTGCGCACACGTGACTCGTGTCGCTCTTCCAGATGGAGATCCTACATAATTATGTTGTGTACTGTTGCCTTAGGCACGTGGACGGCTTTTGCCACTGACCTTTATGTTCGTAGATATTCAACTTTACAAGTTGATGCATTTGCTTACCACAGCTGGGTGGGACTGTTACAGACCTCTCTCTCTGGATGGTCCTGGTACCTCAAATTGATCCACGTTCCTTTTGTTTTCAGTACCATTAGGTACAAAATATACCACAGCCTTGGAAATTCTAAATCCCCGATCCTAACACTTATTTATGATATGGGTGTATAAATATTTTGCGATGGAAAAAGCTGTTGCATATTCTTCCTATAAGCCATCAATTTGGAATGTCATCACACTAACTAGAAAATGACAAAATGTAGTTCTAATACATTCCGTTCCATCACGACTTTATATCGGCTGTGGTTGTCACGTGACTAGTTGTTTGAAATATTCAAAATCGTTTTAATATAACGCATTCAATTTTCTGTATTATATTATCGTTGTTTAACTAAACTAATGAGAAAGAAAAGATGACATTTTTAATTTCGTAACTAATACTTATATATATATAATTTTGAAAATCGTGATTAACATAAACTGTGAAGTTTACTGTAGGCTGTTGTACATTTTTCAGTATTTCTAAGTTTCTTTACAAAGATTATTCTAACGATAATAAATTATGGTTATTATCTCCATTTATACATTACTTAATTGATGTTTTTTGTTTCTTAGTTGTTTACATATACAGTTCTCAGCTTTGGATCTTTCATGGCAGTCACTGGTAAGTTTGTTAATTTTAGACTAAACTGTACCGGGTGGATCATATCCCCCCTAATAAAGATACTAAGAATAGTAATTCTGTTTTATTGCATGTAATACTTCAAGGCCTTTTGTATCACACGTGCTATTGACAACGATAGAGGTACATTTTGAACATCTATAATGTTAGATTGGTTCAGTAACCACTCAGAAACAGATTAACCGAAAAGGAAGGTAGTATATATTTGTAATTTCGTTTGTTTATTTTTTATTGGGTACTTTGCTATGGTACATTAAGTTTCAGGTGTGATTTTGGATTGTTGTGTCTGTATTAATAAATCACCTACTATTACCAATGCTTTTTTAGTATGTATTTCTTTTCTTTTCGCCAAAGGTAAAATTGAAACTATAATAATGACCCTTACATTGCATTTTACCATAAGATGATTTAAATGCATGAATAACTCACAGGCTTTGTTTTTAAAGGAAGATTATAAATGTGAAGTGATGATAAGTAGATGTAAAGATTTCCTTTGTCCTGAGAATAAAATAAGTAAATGTGTTTTTTTAATGAAATTTTGTTGAATTTTAGAAACCTACAACTGCTTTCATTTTTTTGTTCATGTAATAAGTAAAATCAAGAAAGGACCTTTTATATGGAGAGGCACCTGGTGTGAACGTAAAAAAAACAAAAGTAGAAAACACTTTTCCGTAATGGTATTAAAAGGGTTAAAGTCTTATAAGAAACGTTCTATGATATTAATTAAATATTACCTGAACGACTTATAGAAGCTAGGTTTTAATTCTCTGTTCCACGGGTTTACCCATCAGCAAGGAAAAGTGTTAGGCCACTAGTAAGTAAAATCCAGAAAGGACCTGTTTTTGGTGAGAATACCACTTACAATAAGTAAGTGGTTCTAAAACTGTACAGACACGTACCCAGTGGATTCTGAATGCATTGTAGGAGTGGGGAATGATAGGGCATCAAGTACCACAGAGGAAAGGAAGATTTGTTCAATATAAAGTAAGAGAACGACTGCAATATGTAACGTTAAACATTAGCATAAAACACCCCCCCCCCCACAGTCACCCATCATCAGATATTAAAATTTAAAACGTAAATATGTATATAATATGCTAAATTTGCTTTATGTAAATTTGATATACTTTTTATGAATGCGACGCGGTATTCAACATTATGATGCCCCCTAGTAGCACAGCAGTATGTCTGCGGACTTGCAACGCTAGAAACCGGGTTTCGATACCCGTGATGGGTAGAGCACAGATAGCCAGCCTATTGTGTTGCTTTGCGCTTAACTTAAAAAAAAAAAAAAAACACGAAAATACTCGTAGCGCCCTCTAGTGGCACAGTGGTATGTCTGCGGACTTACAACGCTAGAATCCGGGTTTCGCTACCCGTGGTGGGTAGAGCACAGATAGCCCATTGTGTTGCTTTGTGCTTTATTATAAACAAAAACTAAATATTATGATATTGATGTATGAAATATACTAAACCAAAATGCAATATTGTACTTTGCAATGCATGAAAAGAAAGCCAAATCCACTTGCAGCGCCCGTAAAAGTAGAATAGACTACATTCCCTGACTGGACTTTAATCTCATCGTACGCAATATTTATAATAATGTCAGCCTTCCTTTTTTTCACATGGTCTATTTTATGGTAGAAAGTATAATTTTATAGGCTAGACCTACTGTTTGTTTTTTCACACACAACATTTTAACTCTGCATACATTTCTTTTGTGTGCGAGGTTAAATAGTAGATGTATAATTAATAATGTATAACTAAATATGTCAGTCTATTCTGATAAAAAAATAAAAATACAATTTGCAGGTTCAAACCCATCTTCAACCTCATGTAAGCACTTTACCAATTACGCTGACTTGACTTTAATCTCATTGTACACAATAGATATTATAATTTAAATTTTGGCAGATGGCATTATATTATAGGCTAGGCCTACTGTTTGCTTTTTCATACACGACATTCTAATTCTGTGTGCGAGGTTAAATATACGATGAATTAGTAGATTTGTAATTAATTATCTGTAACTAAACATGCCTATAATGCTATATTCTAAATTAAACGTTAACTCAAACTTACCCAAAAATCTGAAGTCTGCGTATAATTCGTATTTTTGCATCAGCAAGATCACGTGACTAGTATCACGCCACCCGCTTTCTAGAAATTTCCTGTTCCTTCAAGAATGCCCTAGCATTTACTAGATATGTGTTAGTCTTGTATATATAAGACGTTGACAACGTGACGGGATAACAGTGTAGTAGTGAGTAATAGAAATGCAGTCAGAGAGCGTCTAATTGAACTCGAGCACGTGAGACGTTCGTTGAGAATTATAGCGCGACTGTTGAAATTAAGTGTATCGTAAAGTTGTATTCGGAAAGAATAAACCAGTTTTATTTAAGAAAGGACTTGTGTCGCTAAAGTTTCGTCGGAACGAAGTTACGGAAAATCAATTAACGAATGGAGACGTAACAATATGTTAACGATAGAATTACCGGTTCGGCTAACATACGATAGACGCGTATATCAACGAAAAATTGTCGTTTTGAGCACCTTCTCGTGAGAGAAGCGCGACCTTAGCAGTGATAAAACTTTCAATAAACTTTTTTTTTTTAATGCACTTATATTAAAGTCAGATTCCAACTTCATTTAACTGAAGAGACCAATGGAAGAGGTATAGGTGCCAAAACTAATTATAACTGTATATATACTTAAGTGGTGATGTAGGTGAAGAAGCTATAAACATCTAAAATGTTAATTTGGAGATTATTGATAAGAATTGTCTGCAGCATATTGCCCCATGGTAAAAAACGGTTAACGATTAAAGCTTAAGTAAGATATATATATTGTTTTGTTGATGTTATTGTCTTGCATGACTTTATAGTTCCAGTAGTTTTTCCAGGTCGAAGCAGTCCAAATATCTTCCCACTACAACGATGGTTTAACAACAACAAAAAAGTTATACTTTAAAAACCACAGAACTCTAATGAGAGACTTCCAAACAATTGAAATACAAAACTGATAACTTACCAAAACACAGTAAACAAATATATGCCTGGCCAGTACTTTAAACTAACGTTAGTGAACAATAAAATATATAAATCCAGGTTAATAAAAACTTCCATCAAACAATCAATAAAAGAATTGAAAAAAAAAAAAACAACATACAAATAAAAATAAACCTCA